GAGACGACGAGGGATGGGATCGTCGTCGGAGACCACTATACATATTGCATTTCAGTAGGGGGATCCCCAGCTAAGCTGGAATCATAAAAGAGTAGACCTTGCCTACCTATTTGTCAAACAGTGTCGTTAGTTTTCATGCAAAATGTTAGCCAGAATCAGTCATCGGAGCTTTTCAAGGTTTTTTTTCTCGATAATGGGGTTTCCTTTTTATTGAACCACACTATGAAGTTGGTTCCATCGTTACAACATTAAAATAACGTCGTTACTTTTACCCATTCTTCTTCATATCCATTCATGTCCTGTACAGCTGGAATTATACAGAAGTCTTTATGACCCATTTTTCCTGTTACTGTTAGGCTTACTTTTGGAGAGAGGCACAATCTCTCGAATTTCCTGACCCTAGATGCTTTCAGCAAGTCACTTGGGTCTGCGTCAAATTTACCCGATGTTGGTCAGTCAAAGTCGGATCTCGAAGATGTGGTAGCGGTTTTAGTCAAGGTAAACGCCCAAATTTGCTTTCTCACATTTGAATTGTCAATTCTTGCTCAGGTCATACTCAGAAACAATGTGGCTTAACTTGGCCTTATTTTCAAGGGCGCGGACGTTCAAACGCTCTACAATCTGCTGCAATCCTCACGAGTGTGTCGCTCAATAGCAGGACCTCATGCAAAGTTGCCCCCCACTTTGACTGCAGCTCAGCCGTTTCTCTACGCGCAGATGCAGACATTGAAGGTGACATTTCCTTCTTATTATTTGTGTTCAGCCGCACCATGCATCTTAGTTCTATAACTGGACTCACCAGTTATTCGGAGTACCATGGTCTACAATGATGAACTTTTACGTGATATTTGGAAACATTAGTCTTAGATTGTGATCTCAGCTGTCTAACGCCACAGCGGGCGCTCCGAAAGTTATCGTAAAGTGCTGCGTTATGGGCAAGAATCTTGCTCCCGGGCGAGGCTCTAATCTTCGCCCGTTCCGGACGAGCGCGCTATCCGTTACGCCGTAGGGGCCGCTCTTATACTCTAGCTTGACTTGAAGGAACAGTCCTATGAAACGATGACCTATGAAAATGCAGAAGACGTTATGGGAAGGTAGCGTGGTCCGCAGTGAACAACCCTGTGCCAGTTTTACGGCTGAAAGTTGTAAGGTGTAGGAGTTATGCTGCAAAATTGCTTCAGTGGTACCTCCTTTTCCAGTGACTCCGCCTCCAGACCCCGCCTTCAATGCCTGCCTGGCCGGTGCGCAGGCCGAAAGCAAATGTGTGCGACAGGTAGCACAAAATGGATGCTACATTGTCTCTTGTAGGGTCACAGGGTTCATTATAAAGAGTCGGCAAACTGAAGGACGGTTTTTTGGCATTTCACCCGTGCAATTGTTTGGGGCTGAAGGGGTCATATTAAAGGTGTTTTCGCCGTTCTCTCTGGCATTTTCTCCTCACGAGTCACTCGGCAACTTCCCCTTCACAATTCGCCGCTAACACCTACGCTCCTTATCGCGGACCGTTCCTTTAAGTGCGGGTCTGTCCGTAGTCAAGACTTGCCCATAACTCAGCATTCTTGTGATAACTAGCTTTATGCTTTTCAGAAGTCGTCACAAGCTATCCGGCGGAAAGAGCTGGAGTATGTGCTTGAACTAGAAGGAGGCCCTATTATGCCTCACACTATACCACTGGTGAGTTTCTTCTTGCAGTTTCTGTGGAGGTTGTACCTGAACGAGAAAATATATATTTTACGTTAAGCGCGGTATTTGTTTCATTTGCAGATAGTTGAATTCATCCGCCGAACAGGGCTTTGCCATGAGGAACACGCCACGGTTCGGATTACTGATCGTGCCGTTTGTAATGGGATAAACGAAGTGGATCCTGAACTATGTGACTGGAATGAAATCCGTGTTGATGAAGAGAAAGTCTTGTGGGAAAAGCTCTGAATATCAGACGCTTGTAGATTTATTGTGCTGGTTGTGATATTATAAAGCCAAATGTCGGCATCATTGCTGTTCCTTGTTCCTGCTTGTCCCCTTAGCTAAAGAATAACATTCATTAGTCTCATCATAACATAAGTGATAAAATATTAACCGTAGCACGGAGCTCACATTACAATTACATCATCACATACGAAAAAAAATGTAACAATCGATACAACTACACCTACAACTAGTTAATAATGATCAAGCGAATGAACAAGTAATGACTGATAAGATGTCCAAGCATGCTTTAAGACATAAATGGCACACTAAATATTTACAATATCATATCACGCAGTAAATAGAGTTAGTATTAGTCGTGTTACAAATAAGCGTTATCAAGGCACTGTACTTCGGTCAGAATCGACCTACACTGATCTCGAGCATGGATTAGCCATGATTAGGTATTACTCAAAACATTGCTCGGAGAACTCATGAAAAGAAATAGATATCATATAAACTGGGAAAATCGGAGACAGCGCAGATAATCCCAACGGGAATGTTTTGGAATTTCCACCCCTTCTCTCATATCTACACTCCATATACCGAAAATGGGGTAGGCGTGGTCGCGTGCTTCACCTGAACATGGTGCAGGACGCGTTTTTGGTGGGATATTTCCAGTGGAGGCAATCTGGGATATTTCCATTGGAGGTCATCTTGTCTTGTGCTGGTCAAGGTCATCACAATTAGCGAAATCGACAATATCCTACCAAAACCGTCCTCCGCCCCGTTCCAGTGAAACTGCAGCCACGCCAGATCGCGGTTGTTATAGACGCAGCACAGCGAAATACTCGACCCACATCACCACGACTGTAGCCTGTAAACGCTCCATTGCTTCTATCCCCAAGTTATCTAATTATTTCAAGAACTAAACTGAAACATCCCGTTCTAATCTCTGGCTGGCGTGAAATGTCTGCGTCCATGTATCTCTAGGGGTGAAATGTGGCACAGAGATTCCCAAACTCTGGAAACTGCAGAAAACAACAAGAAGTACGGCCAGGACACGCCTTTTCATCTCTGGGATATGGGGTGTAGACAGGAGAGAAGAGGGGGGAAGTTCTGCAAGATTTCTCATCAAGGTGATGTGGCTTATATCCGGTTCTCTTTGCAGCAAAACGACCATCCGTCCCCTCAGCAGGTAAAGGAGACGGCAGGCATTTTGGTCACTACTAGACTATAATGGTACGCAGAACATCGGCATACTTTTTCAAGAATATACAGCGCGGTCTGAAGCGTGACATTGAAAAAATCACCAGGTCGTTGGATTTCTCTCCCCTCCTCGCGTTACGGATTCATAACGGAATTATGCGCAACCCTGATTGGATTGGGGAACGGCGCAATAACTTGGCGGATTCTCGAGCCGTTTATGTATGGTTGATCTCGCTATCAGTCAGGGTGGTATCAGAAGAGCGTAATGACGGCAATGTGGTGTTTTTAGTGATCGCCTTTACGGAAAAACGACGCAGTGGTCGGAAGCGCTGCGGAGCTTCAGTCCGCTCCCGAGATCGCTCTGACTGAGCAAGATGCGGTAAATGCTTTTGGAGAATGCGGAGATCGAATAAGTGTTTTAGACGGCTTGAGGTCAAACTTTTCCCCACTTCTTCCAAATAGAATTAGTCAAAAAATAATAGGACGAAAGATGAAACTTATGTTTGTTGACAGAATACTCTACTAAGTAACCATAAAGCTGATTCTTATAAGGATTTACGTGTTCGAGTAGCGTTGTTCAGGTTCTTTGTGAAGAATTACAGATTGTGAGTCAGGATCATAGAAAGCCGTATTCAGTGTATCAGTATACTGCAAAAGAAGAGGAGATGGTTGGGTCTTCCAGGAAAAGAAGCTCATATTGACTCACCGTGAGATCCTCCACTGTAGGCAAGGGGGATGTTTCCGAGTTTGTGGAGCGTAGTCGGGGAAGATGGTAGACTTAGCGATACCTAATCAAAGCTTCTGTGCAGTGAAAGTGAAGCGATAGTATATGGTAAGAAACAAATGTGTGAATTGTGCTCACGTCAACCGCAAGTGAGGGATCGGATGTGTCCATCAAGGCGACTCCGCTATCGTATTCGATCGACGACCCAGACGATGAAGTTACCTAAAATACAAGAAATGAAGGATCGGTTCCATTCATAGTCTCGTTCGTTGCGCACGCAGGGAAATGTAATGGTGCTGGGCTCGGCCAGCCTGCTTTGCTCCTCATGTTGTCGCTTACCGATTCCTTTGGCGCTGCGCCAAACCCAGTCCCCCCCTCACCGTCTGACACTTCCCATCATCCACAGCGAACAACGCTATAGATGGGCCGTGAGCCATTGTTTTTATGCATGCATTTGACACTGATTTTAGCGTATGCTGTGGCTTCAAAGGAGCTGACGATGCCCAGTGCCCTCATACAAAACTGGAACAATCCTAGAGACAGGCTGTACACCCACCTCCGAAGAAGATCCTCTCCCATATGCGGGGTCAATGGGTCCGCAGCAGCAGTAGCTTGCAATTTTTTCTTCTCAAAACGGAACTGGAGTCGAATGATAATTGTCGTCAATGAAACTAGTGGGGAGCATGCGTCCAAGTTCCCCTGAGGGGGTGACATGAGTCGTTGCATCGACACACAAGAACTAGAAGAGCGGCCAGTTGACTGAGCACACTATCCTCGCTATCCGTGCAGCACTTGCGACGCTACCAAAATCCCGCAGCGAACGCGTATCAGGCGTAGAGAACAAACGAAAGCGAGAGGGCCGCAAAATTAGCGCGTGTGGTTATGATAAGCGTGCGGCTGTCGTGCATGCAGCGCGGTGTGGTGGAGAAACGATATCCGGCTATTCCTGCTATCGCCTCGTCCTCATGATTGTCCGAACGGTGAATATTGACACGGCACTGCAGCTATGGGCTCCTTTAGCTCGAACATGGCAAGGACCAGGAAGCATGGATGTACAGTTTGTCGTCAACCGAAACCTAGTCGAGGAGCAATGCGTCCAGTTTCCTTGAGTGGGGTGACATGAGTCGTTGCGTCGACGCACAAGAACTAGAAGAGCGGCTGATTGACTGAACACAACTGCAGGACCGAATCCACATTAAATCAGCTTAGATCCTGATTTGAATGGCCTGCACTTGGACCCGTTTTGCGCTTCATGGCTCTTTGCCGCAACTTGGAAAATAATTATTAGTTTCGGGAAAGTTCTGCACCGTTTTCGAGCTGTTTCACTTTAACGATCATACTTTCTTAAACTCCTGACGGATTCAATCCAAATGGGCGCCATTCGAATATCAGCACACCATGATGCTTTTTGCCGTGTGAGTCGATGAAAGTGGGTCATCAGAAGAGAAAAAAGAGTGGTGGTCGAGGAGGTGTCACGAAATCCAAGCGAAGGCTTTTTTGTCGCTAGGTCCTGATTGATGAAGTTTTTCCGATCCTGATTGATGAAGTATTTTCCAGCAAGGGAGTTCTGAAAATGTTTGAAAAGGTGATAGTCGATTGGCGAAAGGTCTGAAGAATATGGCGGTTGAGGTAGAACTTCAACCCCCAATTCGTTCAATTTATGGATAGTGATTTGTGAAACGTGTGGGCGGGCGTTCATGCAAAAGAATCGGACCCTTTCTTTTGATAAGTGTTGGCTGCAGCTGACAAAATTTTCGGTACATTTCGTCGATTCTTCACAGTAGGGTTCTGCTGTGATGGTTTGGCCTGGTGATAAAAAGTTATAGTGGATCACACCAGCCGATGACCACCAAACCGTGACCAGAATCTTTTTTTCGTGAGGGTTCGGCTTTGAAAATTACCTCGGTGGTTCGTCGAAATCCAACCACTGTCCGGAACGTCTCCTGTTATCATACATGATCCATTTTTCATCACAGGTGACAATTCGGTTCAAAACGGGTCGTTTCTGTTGCGCAAAAGCAGTGAAGAGGAACCCGCGAGACGTGCCAATTTCTGCCGGTCACTCAAATTGTGGGGCACCCACTTGTCGAGTTTTTTCACCTTCCCAATGCGTTTCAGACCATCTGCACACTGAAATTCGCTCAGCAACGCCTAGCTTTTCTGCAATCTCTCGAACTGTTTGGGATGGGTCAGCCTCCACAAACGCCTTCAATATCCTCGTCAGATATTGCTTTAGGTCGACCGCTATGAGGTTAACAAATGGAATAAAATGAGGCGATTGAGGCTTTCACCTTCAAGGCTGAAATCTCCAGAACGAAATTTGTTGAGCCATTGCCGCACAGTGCTTTCTCTAGCACTATGGGCCCCCACACCTGGTTAATTTGTTGAGCTGTTTCGATTGCGGATTGCCCCAATTTATAGTCGAAGAAAAATATTAGTCGAAAAAAATATCGTCCGAAGTTGCTCTTTTGACATGCTTCAAAAAGTCTTGGGAAAAGGGGGTTTATCAAGCAATGGTGAAACGGCAATTATACCATCAGATAGCGCAAAGAATTCTCTTCAGGATGTACTACTGAGACGCAAGGGAGAATGAGTTTTTAATCAGCAATGAATGTACAAAAAATAGTAACACAAAACGTGCAGAACTTTCCGGACAACCTAATATATGCATGTAATCTGGCTGCCTTTTGCTGTTGACCTCTACCTCAAACCATTTACTCCGAGTATACTATCACCTGCTCCTAACGCCATCTAACAGTATGGAATGCTGATGTGAGAAGTCAAAGGTGACACTTGGAATGACGGATAAGAGATACTGGGTGATGATGCATGAAGCTAGGAAAAGAAAAAAAGTGAGAATAGAGCTATCACGATGCGCCAATCACCTGTGAAAGCTCATTTAAGCTTCTTCAAAGATCTCATCTTGAGATAGTTATCGGTATTGAAACAGACACTGTCCAGGCTCGAGCCTGCATAGTTGAAGAGAAGGAGAATTTGTAAACAAAAGATACATCTCACCTGTGGAACCGGAGGTGGAACTGACCGCTGGATGGTCATCGGAACCGCAAAAGGAATACCAACCGGAACGGGAGCACGCATAGGGGCTTGAACCACAGGATACCTGTACACCACTGGATAGCGCTGCGCCACCGGAACGTACTGAAAAATGAGCGCTTTGCCTTCCGGTCCTCGTTACCACATAATACTGATATTTGAGGACATATTCAAGAAAATACTGCCCGTTCTCGTATAGAATTGTAGTTTTGACTCAAGTCCAGTTTGGAGTACAGCTGCGGAAAAAAACTTGGAACAAACGCTGAGAACTCATTTTCATGTGTTCTACGCTATCTGTTCTCTTCTTGAACACCAGTATTAGGGTCAGAAGTTGAGAATGTAATGTTATTAGACAACAATATTAACTAATAATAATATTTTGGTAGAGCGGTGGTAGTGTAGTGGCAAGTGGAGCTACTGATTATGTGCACGGTCTGTGGTTCAAATGCTGGATCGGCTCCAGCCCAAACCAACCTAGCTTTCCACGCCTACGGGGAATGCTAATCAGTACTAAACTCGCCTAAAAGGATAAAAACGTCGATTTCTGAACTGGCAGCCCTCCTATCCCCCCCTCAAATGCATTGCACAGGCCACCCACACCACATTCAGAAGCCACCATGACTCGTAATGGAAGTCAAATGCATGCAACATCCTGACAACTGGTTCGCAAAGCTATCATCTTCGGGCTTTTTGATGCAGCATTGCTCCTCAACATTCCGCCAATTCTCCAAGTGTTGGGAAGTTCTTCGGCTTACGTGGCGGCATTATTAGCTGTCATGAATTAGTCCCTTTTGGCCC